GTCCCTGGATCCCGGGACCCTGGCAGTGGCGGGCTGCACAGGCTCCCCGGGAGGGGGGTGTGGACAGTGGCCTGTGCTCGCACACAGGCTTCTTGGTGGCGGCAGCAGCAGCAGCCTTAGCGTCTCATGCCCGTATCTGGGGTCTGTGCCTTTAGCTGCGGCTCGCGCCCGTCTCTGGAGCTCCTTTAAGCAGCGCTCTTAATCCCCTCTCCTCGCGCAGCAGGAAACAAAGAGGGAAGAAAAAGTCTCTTGCCTCTTCGGCAGGTCCAGACTTTTCCCCGGACTCCCGGCTAGCCGTGGCGCCCTAACCCCCCCCCCCCCCCGCCCCCGCAGGGTGTGTTCATGCCGCCAACCCCAGTCCTCTCCCGGCGCTCAGACCGAAGCCTGAGCCTCAGCTCCCAGCCCAGCCTGCCCCGAAGCCCAAGCTCAGCTCCCAGCCCCGCCCGCCCCGGCGGGTGAGCAGACAAGCCTCTCGGGCTGCTGAGTGCCGGTCGGCCCTGATCTTCTGTGTGGGAATCTCTCCACTTTGCCCTCCGCACCCCTGTTGCTGTGCTCTCCCCCGCGGCGCCGAAGCTCCCCCCCTCCGCCACCCGCAGTCTCCGCCCGCAAAGGGGCTTCCTAGTGTGTGGAAACCCTTCCTCCTTCACAGCTCCCTCCCACTGGTGCAGGTCCCGTCCCTATCCTTTTGTCTCTGTTTATTCTTTTTCTTTTGCCCTACCCAGGTACGTGGGGGGTTTCTTGCCTTTTGGGAGGTCTGAGGTCTTCTGCCAGCGTTCAGTAGGTGCTCTGTAGGAGTTGTTCCACGTGTAGATGTATTTCTGGTGTATCTGTGGGGAGGAGGTGATCTCCGCGTCTTACTCTTCTGCCATCTTTTGATTTTTCTTACTTTGAAAAGTATGAAGTGCTACTATACAAAAGTGGAGCATTCATTTGTCACCATTACCATAAAGGAAAATATCTATCAGATATTTTCCTAAGGGCTTTTCTCCAAGAGCCTTGGACCTCACCTCAATGAAAACCATTGGTTTTGCCTGGGGATTCAGTTTTCTAGTCCTTAAAATCAGCAGGATGATGCCCCCCAAACCCTGGTTTTCTTGGAAGTGGCGAAAAGGGCATGAAGATACCCTAATAAAGCCAGAGGGTTTTTGCTTGGTTCTGGACTGCTTTCCCCTGACCCCCATTGTGGGGTACTGTCATAAACCCTTGGAGGGAAGTATAGGGGAGCATACAGATCCCCAACTCTTCAGAGGAAAAACGTTTAGCTCTCAGAAATGTACTCGTTAACTCAAACCCGTCCCACTGCTATTTTGCATAGTGTGAACATTACAGGTTTTTAACCCCGGTGGAAAATACAAGGACAGAATATGAGCACATAGACCAGGCTCCTGCTTCGCTTAGGCTCTTCGCCTTGTTGGGCTGGCTTGTCTGCCAGCTACGCATGGGACTCTCCTTGCTTCACTTCCCTATGTTCCCCTCCAGCAGTTTCTCTTGTGATCCATGCCCATCTCCCAACAATCTTCCCCTCTCTCAGAACAGCCGCTGATATCAGGTGCTGACCCCTGTTATATGTCCCCTGGTCATAATTGATTGATTGGGGTGGACGCCTGACCCAAACTGGCCAATCAGAGTTTCTCTCCTGAGAATGTGAAGAGTGACACAGACAGACAGGGACTAAAAGTTATGGGACCTGAGTCCCGGTGTGGTAGGCAGAATTTCGAATCCCCTCCCCCCAACCTATAATATAATGAGACGATGAGCTATCACTCCCACAATTGTTATGCTATGTGGCAGAGTTGACCTTAAGACGGGAGATTCTCCGGGTGAGCCTGATCTAATTATCTGGTTCTTTCAAAGCAGCAGAAGTCAGAGAGATTTGAAGCACGAGGGGGATAGGACACCCCACTGCTGGCTTGAAGATGGAAGGGGCCGTATGAGAAGAAAGTGCAGTGGTTTCTAGGAGCTGATGAGGTCTCCCAGCTGATAGCCATTGAGGAAGTGGAACCCTCAATCCTATAATCACAAGAAAGTGGATTCAGCCAACAACCTGAGTGAGCTTAGAGGTAGATTCTCCCCTTAATCTTCCAGATAAGACCTCAGCGTGGCTGGCACCTGGACTTTGGCCTTCAGCAGAGGACCCAGTTGAGCAATGCCAGACTTCTGACCTACAGAACTGTGAGTTAAGAAATTTATGTTCCTTTAAGCCACTACATTTGTGATAATTTGTTATGGCAGCAATAGAAAATGAATGCACAGGGCACAGGGCCACGGCAATGCATTGTGAGGCGGCCGGGACCTCCTGCAGCTGAGGGCCTCAGCACCACCTCGTTCCTTCCTTCCTTCACATTCTTCACTTGGTTCTATGAGCTATGTAGACGTCTTCCAAACAATTTCCCTTTTTCTGCTTAAGTCAGTAGATTTGGTTTTCTGTTGCTTATAACCAAGGAGCCTCAACAAAATGGGGTGTAGACTGGGGTGACCTGCAAAAACAGTGTAATTCTGGTTCCTGGAAGTGTTGCCGTGTGAAAACTCATGAGAGATTAAATGAACTTTGGGAAGTCTCGGAACTTTAAATAAATTGAAGGTTATTGAAAAAATCTATTTTTGCTGACTATTTATAATTGCATTTTGAAGATATTATTTAGTTGAATGATAATATTGACCTTGGTCTACAGATATGCCTACCCACGTAAACCCAAGCTACATTGTTCACTAATAGAAAGACTTTGCAATACGCTTGTTCATTTGGTTAGAGCACACATTTGAAAGCTCCCTGGAAGCCTGTAGATTTGTTTACACCAGGTAAAAAGCTAGGTGAAGCCAGGGCATGGTCTGCTGCTTCGGGCACTGTTGTCCACCCCACCCCCACCCAGTTCCAGCTGGCTGCCCACAGCAGAGTACAGACCCCAGCAGGAACCATGCCAATGTGGCCTCTGGCCAGGCAGAGTGAGGGAGCAGAGTGACAGAGATGTCCAGGTGCAGACAGCTGGCTTGGCGGGGGAGAAGGGGATTATTGACACAGAGGAAGAGGGGCAGGCCATGGACACCATCCAGAGCCTGGGAATCTGCCCATGCATGGACTCCCAGTCTGCAGGGGCCTGTCACCCTCCATCCTTGGGTGTATGGAGGAGGGCATGGACAGTAAGCTCCCTTTTCACTCTGCAGCTTGAGGGTGGGGCTGGGAGTGAAATAGGAGAAGGAGGGAAGAGAAAACAGCAGAGGGAAGATGCATCCCTGTAAAATTCACCTCATAATGAAGAAAGTCCCTCTTGGCTTTGCTTGCTTGGAGGAGAACAAGTCTGAGGTCCACAAGATTTCTTTTCAGATGTTCCTGTAAATGCCACCAACTAGTAGAATTTTTTTTTTTTTGGTAATATCCTTGGTGCAGGAAACATGACTGAGTTAGTTACAGACAATGAAATACAGTCCTTTCTGGGTGGGGTCAGTGGAAAAAGGAAGAGGATAAGGCCTAGGGGAGGGAGGAGAGACTGTGTTAAGCTGTGTGTAAGCAGGAACAAAGAGTAGCTGGATCTTGGACATTCAAAGAAGGAGCAATTCTAAAAAGAAGAGTACACTCCAGTTTGGGGGCGTTCTCCTTTGGGCACAAGGACAGAAAACCTGGGTTGCTTATACAAGGTTTATTCTGCACCCACCCCGTGCAGACTGGAGGTTGCAGGCTTAGCCTGGGTGCCTGGGGACAAGCCTAGCTGGTGTCAAACTGCCAGCCAAGCCACATGCATAATTAGGTGGATTTGGGTAGAAACCCAGCCAACTGAGCCTACTTGTCTGCCTTTCTACACTTGGGTTTTGCTTTATCTTTCCCCTCTAACCAGTTTCTTTAAGGCTTAGTGTGTCCATATATAGTATTTCTTCACAATAGGAAAGAAGTACTAAATTGGCTGGATTCCTAGCTGAAAGTCAATCTTGGTCTTCCACTGATAGGAAAATCTCTTATCAACCCTACTCCTTTCCCAAGAGAGCCTATAGATCAGGCATTTTGCCACTTTTCAGATCTTTCCCCAGGCTGAAAGTAACTAGATAACCATCATTTTAAGATAAAGGATATGTTCTCTGATGGACAGTCCAGGGGAATAAGATATTTGGGATTTTTTTTTCTTTTCTGCTTCTGTTCATCTACTTAGCAGTGTTTCAGCAATTTACTCCTTTCTCACTGGTCCCTTTGGCTGTAAACTGGAGACCCTAATTCCAGTCATTTCCCTCATAGTTCAAGACATTTAATGAATCTTTATGGACCATATAAACTAGTTTTTTATTGCACCTCTCCCTCACTCCCATAACCACATACGCGTTTCCTGCGCCATTTGATAAAGCCTGAATGTCCTCACTCTGGCTTTAGCCCTAGCATGTTTTGCTCCTTAAGGAAGAAAACAAGTTATCGTTCACCGCCGACTTGGGTTGTCTTTTGCTCTGTGGAGTCTTTGATCTTTCAGCTGCCCTTCACTCTGCTGATCACAGCCTTCCCTTAACCATTTAAAAGGCTCAGTGGGTCTTCTGACACGTGGTTCAACTCAGATTTCTCAGTGTGCTTTTAGATGGTGTCTCTGGGGACGTGTTTCTCTGACCCACTGAGTCAATGCTTTCATCAGCCCCAGGGCTCTGCCAGGGAGCACGGTTTCTCTTGCCTGCTCCAGCTCTTACTCGTTTAATTGAGAGCAATGACAGCATGTATTTAGGGAGAGGAGTTCTCTTAGGATTTAAAAAATGGTGAGTACAAAATCTGTATTTTGGTATATAGTATTATAGAAGGATGTTCAGTTTTAAGGGAAATTAGTTTTGAGATTGCTTTACAGATGGGGAAGTTAAAAAATCAGGGATGGATTGTTTCTGCTCTTTCTTGCTGAAAGAGGGGGCTTAAGGCAGGAATGTGTGAGATTCCAAATTCACTGCTATGCCCAGAAGGGGTCTCACTTCTCCCTGCCTCCCTCCTCTGCCTGAAATAGACATCAGTGGGGGTATGTTACCCTGGTACGTGTGTGGAGCCAGTGAGAGTGTGGCATCATAACCGCCATGTTCCCAGGGCTGTGGATGGCTGGTGGGGAAGTGGGGAGGGAAGAATTCACCCCCAGCACCTGCACCATGCCTGATCCATCCCAGGCACTCAATACGTATTTACTGAATTAATTTGATTTAGAGCCAGAAAATCAGTCCTCTCTTGTTTAGTGAGTCCAAGATGCCTAATCTGTGAAAAAGGGTTATTTCTTGCCCTAGCTCCTTCATGGAGTGGTTTTGAGGATAAATGTGAAGATGGCTGGACCATAAAACACACCATACATTTATGGCATTTCTCTTGGATACAGCCCTTGTTGGGAAGGCCATGATATCACAATTAAAGACAGTTTGTAAACCCTTTCCTAAATGGCTTCAGCGCCTGAGTGTAAATCTTGTCTCCCCTCTCACACACTCTTGAGATTGTCCTCTCACAACTGCGTTCCCTACCACAGGTGGTACCACAGTTAATGGGATTGGGTGAGAGTCAAATGCAAATCACGTTCTTCCCAAGTTGCCAGCTTTTGGCTTTTGGCATTACCTATTTCAAATGTTTTCTTCTGCTCTAGACATATGTTTGAAGGGCTATAGCATTATCTTTTATTGAACTAAATTTGTCCTTACTTAGGACATTTTCTTATGGAATTTAATTCATAAATTAATATATGTAATCTGATCAAAAGAGTTCATGGCACATAGAAAGTGATATATAAGAGTTAGCTTCTGCTGTTATTGGTTGCTAACCTGCTTAAATGTCTCCTCTTCAGAAAGGTCTTCTCTGATTACCCTATGTTAAAAGAGTACTTCCCACTCTCTCCTCTTTGCCCTGTTTTATTTCCACAATAGCACCTATCATTATAGTATTCAATCAATACTTTGTTGCTTATTATCTGACTCCTCTACTAGAATGCAAGCTCCATGAGGGCAGATTTCAGATCTGTTTTGGTCACCTCTCTTCCTAAGGCCTCATACATAGCAGGCCCTCAATAACCATTTACTGTCTGGACAACCATGTAGAATTTTCTTTTTCAGTTGGTCAGTGTTGTTCCCGGAGCTAGCCTATACTGGCTTGTAAGAGCCAATTGCGTGCGTTTCTTCCCAACTCTGTGTTTGTCGATGTCATCATTTGTAGCCTGAAATCAGTCATGGTGGGGGAGTTTACACCATGGCAATTGGCAAATACTGTCAATCAGCACCTGCTCCCCCTTTCCCTCCAGTCAGCTGTTCAACATTTACCAGCACACCACTGTTTCTAAAGAACCAAATCAACTACAGATCAGTTATACTGTTTAAAAGGCTGGTGTAGTGAATTAAAGATGGCTACAAATTCTTTGTCACTGCCCCTCACTAGGCAGTGGAATCTATCCACTCCCTAGAATTTTGGCTGCCCTGTGACTGACCAATAGAGTACAACAGAAGTGACCCCATACCAATTTCAGACCTACTCTTTAAGAGGACTGGCAACTTCTCTTTCCTTCTTCTTGGAACTCACTCTGCTGTGAGGAAATCCAAGAAGATTCGGGGAGAAGCCCACGTAAGGGAGAATTGAGGTCACCAGCCAATAACCTCAGCTGAGTGGTCGATGTCAATTTGCCAGGCCTGTGAGTGAAACCATGGTAGGGGTAGACCCTGCAGCTCCAGCTGGCTCCCCAGTGGTTGCCCTGTGGATCAGAGATTCCCACCACGAGCTGCCCAATCTGCCAAATCGGGAACACATAAACAACTGTTGTGTATTAAGCCGCTAAATCCTGGGGTGGTTTGTTATACAGCAACAGACAGCTGAAACAGCTGGGTAATAAACACTTTGAGAGTGTCTGGAAGTGGTCGGGATTTGGTGAGTTCTGACTGGCTGGATTCACTTGTGGCCTGAGCCTCAGTCCGTGGCACACATTCACAAGAGTAACTTTGACAACAGATACATGCTACATGTTTGTATTTCCCACAGTGAAAAATAAGTAGAGTCAGAGGATTGCTGTTGGATTGGATGTGAGGATGAGGGAAAGGGATCAGTCCGAGATGACTCCTTGGTTTTTGATCTGAGCAACTGGGTGGATGACGGTGCCGTTAAAGGTGACTAGGAAGAGTCGTGAAAGAGCGGACTGTGCAGGGTGGGGGGTGGGAGCATCAAGCATTTCCTGTTGGTCATGCTAAGTTTGAGTTGCCAAATA